TGACCAAAGACAGTCACCAGCACCATCTTGGCTGCAGCCGGTGGTTCCTGGTGTGCGTCTCCCTCGTGGCCAATGATTCTGAGGTGCGCTGAGTGCTAGGCCTGGCCATGGTGTCAGGGACTCAGCCAAGGGACAGTGTAACCCACTGGGGAGGGGCCAGGCACTGCACAGCTGGTCCAGGGCCCCTGCTGCTGACAGGGTCTTGGCTTCTCTGACCTGCAGCCAGTCCCTGAGCCTCTGGGCCTCGCATCTTCATCTGGCAGGTGGGGATTATCAGGTGGTTCTAGAGGGATGGACGCTGTGGGGACTGAAGACATCTGGGCCCACAGCAGCTGTCACTATTGGCCCTGGCAGGCGGCTCCCAACCCACCAGCCACCTGGGACGGCGAGCCCCCAGGACAGGAGTTCCCTGCCACGCAGCCCCACTTTGCTGTACTGAGGGGAGGGTGAGGCCAGGAGGAGCGGCTTCCTATCAAGGCGGGCTGAGCAGGGTGGATATCAGCCTGGGACAGTCTGACACCTGTGGACAGCGGGGAGCTGGCCTGGAAGGATCCAGGGAGAACAGTGTGATCTGGATGAGGACCCTGAGGCCCTCCCAGGTCTGAGTGAGCTGGAACATGGCCTGGGGTCCAACTGGGCAGTCAGCTGTGACCCTGAACACATCACTCCCCCACCCCCTCTGTTGGCTCATCTGTGAAATGGGCCCAGGCGGGTCCTTCTGGGAATTAGCTGGAAGAGCTCGGCAAAACCCCTGTGAGTGCTGCTGTCCTCCCAGCCTCCTACCCTCCTCAGCCTCGGCCCCTCCTGGGTCAAAGTAACCCGGCTGCATGAGGCCTCTGCCTTGGGACCTGGGAGCCAGGGCTCCATGTGTGACCCAGGCAGCCTCTGCAGACGGGGGACCTGGGGCTGGGGGATGGCAGAGAAGCCTTCCCAGAAGGTAGGAGGAACAGAAGGGAGGAGGTGGAGCCGCCTGGCCACCTGGGAGCACAGGTCCTCCAGGAAGGAGGACACGGCTGTGGCCAGAAGATCTCTCCACAGTGACTGCACCTGGAAGGTTGTGATGCTGACCCTCACTTGCTCTGTCCCCAGCTCACCATGTCCAAACGACTCCCTGCTCGAAGGCTGGATGGATTGGAATACAACCCCTGGTGAGCTGGAGGGCCTGGGAAGCTTGTGGGGGTCCCCTCGGGCGTGGGTTGGCCATCCCTGGTCACAGTAACTCAGGGGTACGCAGTACAGGTGGCAGCTACCACCAACAGAGGAGGCTTAGTCTCGAATCTCAGCTTTGCCCTACTGGGCCATGGGCTGGGACAGGCACATACCTGCTCTGAGCTTAGCTCCCCTCTCCCAAGAGAAGAAAATATACCTCCCTGGGCAGAGAAGGCAGCTGTGTATAATAGCAATAATCACTGACCCAGGCACGGGCAGAGGGCTTTCCCGGGGTCACAGCAGAGTGTCCGCATCAGTGGCCTCCACATGCCCACAGATTCAACCAAGTGCAAATCAAAAGTAATTTTCAAAATTATATTTGTACCAATCATGTTGAGACTTTGTCCTTGCCATTGCTCCCCAACAATACAGGATGCCAGCCTCCCTGGTGTTAGGGTTGGTAATGTGGAGATGATCTGAAGTACCCAGGGGGCTGGAAGTCAAGCTCAGTGGTGGAGTCCTTGCCTAACATGCTGGAGACCCTGGGTTCCATGCCCAGCACTGCAAACAAACAAATAATAAATATATAAGATAAAAAAACAAAGTATCTGGGAGGGGCTGGGTGTGTGGGTCTGGGTGTAGCACCTGCCTAGCACGTTTGAGGTCCTGCCCTGAAAAAGTGCACGGGAAGACACACCTAGGTTCTGTGCAGATATTGTGCCCTTTTATTTAAGGGACTTGAGCTTCTGCTGATTTTGGTATCCTGGGAGCAAGGAGGTCCTGAAGCTAGTCCTCCACCGGGTACCTGAGGCCACCTTTCACTCTTCGGCACTTGCCATGGAGTCAGATCATCTAAGGGAGGATGATCCAGAGCTTTTCACCAGCCTTTCCCAAGGCTTTTTTCTCTTTCTTCTTCTTCCTTTGTTCTGTTTTTTTGTTGTTGTTGTTGTTGTTGTTGTTTTTGTGGTGCTGGGGATTGAACTAGGGCCTTGTGCATTCGAGACCAGCACTCTGCCAGCTGAGCTCTGTCCCCAGCTGCTCTTCCTTTGTTCTGTGTGTATGTGAGTGTATGTGTGTGTGTGTGTGTGTGTGTGTGTGTGTGTGTGATGCTGGGGATTGCACCTGGGGTCTCACACATGCTAGGCAAGTGCTCTACCACGGAGCTATATCCCAAGCCCAATATCCTTTTCTTCTTTAACTTCTCCTGAATATGAAGGCTCCATGTTCCTATTGCTACCAGTGATATAATGAATGCAGTAAAAAGATGTGTAAGGATTACGGGGGCCACACCAGCAGTCCCTGCAACAGGGGAGACTGAGGCAGGAGAATCTCAAGTTCAAGACCAACCATGGCAATTTAGCAAGGACTTTCCCAAAACTCTTGAGTTGTAGCTCAGTGGTAAAGTACCCCTGGGTTCAGTCCTCCATATAAAAAAAAAATTGACCCAATCTCTTAAAACACACGCCACAAACACCATTGAATAACACTTGTGCTGTTGGTGCTCAAAGAAAAACAATTTTTTTTTTCACAAAAATTGGAACCAAGCTAGGTGAGAGGTGTACACCTGTAATCCCAGTGGCTCTGGAGGCTGAGGCAGGAGGATTGGGAGTTCAAAGCCAGCCTTATCCATTAAATAGGCCTTAAGCAGCTCAGTGAGACTGGTCTCTAAATAAAATACAAAGAAAGGGCTGGAGATGTGGCTCGGTGGTGAGTGTTCCCTGGGTTCATTCCCTGGTACCAGAAAAAAAAAAATCAAAAATCTGGAACCAGTTTTTCTTCCAGACTTCCATGTATAGCATTTTGTTTTTACAAAGGTCTTGAACCCCTTCTTCCCCTTGGATGCCCCATGGCATTGGGAACAGGATCTGGGCCCAGAGCCCTGCCTTGCTGGCTGCCATCTAGGCTGGTGCTGCAGAGGCCTGATCCTTGGGCTGCCCCCTCAGCCTCTTGGGAGCGGTCTGGGCAGTCACAAGGCTCTCTTGCCAATAAGGTAGCATCCAGCTCTGTGAGATGCCAGAAGAGACAAGAGGGCAGCCTGTCCCCCGGGAGCCTTTGAACCTCACATCCCCTGTGCCAACCACCATGGAATATCCTCCTTCCAATTTTGGGTCTACCATTTGCTGCTGTGTGACTCTGGGCCTGTCACTCCCCACTCTGAGCCCTAGCAACTCTGGGCCTCCAGAGGCATTGTGGAACTTGATGGAAGATGACAGATTTTAGATATAAATGATATCTAAATTTGCATAAATAGGCTGGCAGGACCCTATTCTGACCAGAGTGGAGTAAAGATTACTTAGAGTTATACATACAGATATATATACATACATACACATATATACACACACACATATATAGATAGATAGATATATAGATAGATAGATGGACACATAGATAGATACATAGATAGATATAGGCTGGTTGTGCCTGTGGTACTTGGAAGACCTTGTCAGCTCTGTCCCCAGAGTGGCCCAGAGGGTGTGCCTCAGAGGTCCTATGTGGTCAGGGCATTCACACTATACCGTGGACACATCCAATAATGAGTTAAGCAATTGCTTGGCGGGTCTCCACAGGTGTTCTTGTTATTTTTGTTTATTTATTTATCTCACCCCACCCCCAGTGTTAGAGATGGAACCCAGGGCCTGGTGCGTGCTAGGCAGAAGTACCACTGAGCCCCATCTCCTGCCCACTCAAAGGCTGTTTTTAAACAGGGTAGGGCGGGGAAGGACAGAAAACAGTGTGGCTGTGGTCCTTCATACTCTGCAGTGTTTGGGATGGGAACAACATTTCTTCCCCTGGGTCATGGTCAGGGAAGCTTGACATCCTCCTTGCTGACCCGTGTGCTCGCCACAGTGTCTGGTCCATCTCTCGTCGACTAATGGGACCAATTGTGACCCCAGGCAGGTCTACAGGTTGGGGGCAGATGCCAGTTGTCCAGGTTTCGCCATCGGGCCTAGGCATGCTCACTCTGGCCTGGAAACAGAAGTCCAGCAGGGTAGAGGGGTGATCTGGGACCAACTCTCTGTTTGTCCCCAGGGTGGAGTTTATCGATCTGTCCAAAGAGTATGAAACTGTGAACTTGGGCCAGGGCTTCCCCAACTTCCCACCCCCAGACTTTGCTGTGGAAGCTTTTCAGCAGGCCGTCAGCGGGGACTTCATGCTCAACCAGTACACCATGGCCTTTGTGAGTTTACTGGTCTCTCTTGGGGGGCCTGGGGAGCCAGAGGGAATGACCAGCTGGTGGAGAGATCATGGGGCAGGGCGGAGAGCAGGGAATTCAATCTGGCCATGGTTCAGGGTTTACTGACCTATTCTGTCCCAGGCCCTGTGCCTCATGGCCTAGTGGGGAAGGCAGACCCGAAGCCAGTCATAACCAAGGGGGTGGGCAGGCACCGTAGAGGAGGTGGCACATGGGAGCAGCTCCCGCGAGCCCCAGCCCCGCCCAGCCTTGGGTGTTTTCTGTGTCCACAAGCACATGGATCCAATCTTCCCCCAAAGTTAGGTGCTTCAAAAGCTGCAAAATAAAGACCTATTTCTGCTTCACCCGTATGTGACTTTAGCCAAGTCATTTTCTCTTTCTGGGTGTCTATTTTTCTATGTATCAAATATCTGTCTTTTGGTTGTTGTTGTACTAAGAATGCAACCCAGAAGCACTTTATCTCTGAGCCGCATCCCCAGTCCCTTTCTATTTTTTATTTTGGAACAAGGTCTTGCTAAATTTCTCAGGCTGACCTCAAACTTGTGATCCTCTGTCCTCAGCCTCCTGAATCACTGGGATTATAGGGGTGCACCAACATTCCTAGTCTTGCAAGGCTGCTGGGAGGATCTGATGAGCACAGATGTGCTTTTTAACTCCCTGACCCACACGGGAGGTGTAGTCTCCACGGCTTTGGGCCCTGCCACCCTGTGCTGGCCAAGGAAGGCCCTCTGTCCACCTTCCCACCACATGCCAGTCCCAGGCAGGGACCCAGATCAGAAGAGGCTCATTGGCAGAGGCTGGTGGAGAAAGAGAGAGAGCTCATCCCCAGGAGTTGGCTTTGCCCTGAGGACTACACTAGAAGGTGCTAGAGTTGCCTAGGGTTGAGTCTGGAGGGCTGACCCTGCTGTCCTGCAGGGTTACCCACCCCTGACAAAGATCCTGGCAAGTTTCTTTGGGAAGCTGCTGGGACAGGAGTTGGACCCACTTGAGAACGTGCTGGTGACCGTGGGTGCCTACGGGGCCCTGTTCACAGCCTTCCAGGCCCTGGTGGACGAAGGAGACGAGGTGGGTGACATGACTCGGGCTGGGTGGGGTGAGGGGTCAGAGCAGTGCTGACCACAGTGATCTGATCCTTGTCCCAGGTCATCATCATCGAACCTTTTTTTGACTGTTATGAGCCCATGACATTGATGGCTGGGGGTCGCCCTGTGTTTGTGTCCCTGAAGCCGGTAAGGATGTCGTGTGGGGTGTGGTGGGCCCAGGGACCCACGGACTGGGTGGGACTGGGCCCAGGGAGATGGGTCAGAAAGGACACAAGTGAAGGAGACCAGGTCCTGTGGGCTGGGAGGTGTAGTGGCCTCCAGAGCCCCAGGGAGGAGGTGGAGGGGGCAGATGCCCAAGGAGGGGACTTAAATGTCAGGGGGTAACTATAGCCACCCTTCCCACCTCCTCTTGCAGAGCCCCACCCAGGATGGGGAGCTGGATTCCAGCAGCAACTGGCGGCTGGACCCCACAGAACTGGCCAGCAAGTTCACGTCCCGGACCAAAGCCCTGGTCCTCAACACACCCAACAACCCCCTGGGAAAGGTACCTGGGACAGCTCTGTTCAGGGACCCTCCACCTGCATTCAAGTCCCGGCTCTTCCTGACGAGCTTCCTCGGGGCCTCAGTTTCTTCATCTGTGGAGTGGGAGGGTTGCCCGCCGTGACCTGAGGATGGAGGTGCCAGAGTCCCAGGGAAAGAAAGGGGCAAGAATCTCAGGGAGGTGAAGGGTGGGTTGGTGGGGACAGTGACTTGCCTCTCAGCATTTCCTCAACTGTAAATAGGAACCTGAGGGACCATCTCACAGGGTCGGTGCAGCAGAGGTTTGATGGGATGGTGCAGGAAAGCCCCCAGCAGCCAGCATGGCCACAAGCCCTCTGTCTGAGCAGGACTTTGCATTTGGGCATGGTACCGGCTGCAGACCTGTGCCACCCCTGGGTCCCTGCAGGTGTTCTCCAAGGCAGAGCTGGAGCTGGTGGCCAGGCTGTGCCAGCAGCATGACGTGCTCTGCATCGCGGATGAGGTGTACCAGTGGCTGGTCTATGACGGGCTCCAGCACATCAGCATTGGTGAGCCGGGCTGGGGGTGGGCCTCGAGGCCAAGCTGGGAGCACAGGCCTGTCACTTAAACCAGGGACCAAGAAGGGGCTGTGGGGCTGTGTAGGTGATATGATCTTGGGCAGTGACTTCACCACCCTAGAAGGAAGGTCACAGTATCATCTACCTCTGAGGTTGTCTTGAGCATAAGATTAAATAAATCCTTGATAGGTCCTTGGCCTGGGTCCCACCTGCAATCCCATCTACTCCAGAGACTGAGGCAGGAGGGTCCTGAGTTCAAGGCTAGAATTGGCAACTCCGTCAGACTTGACTCAAAAGTAAATAAAAAATAAAAAGGACCGGCATGTAGCTCAGTGGCAGAGGGCTTATCAAGAAAGTACGAGGGGTCTAGGCTCAACCCCCAGTCCTACCCCTCCCTCCCTGAGTCCTGGGAGTAGAAAGCCTGTGCTTCCCCAGAGCCAGGCCACCTGCTCCTGCCCTTGCCCATCCCAGCAGCCTGTCTTTAACTTTGGACAGCCAGCCTCCCTGGCATGTGGGCTCGGACCCTGACCATCGGCAGTGCTGGGAAAACATTCAGTGCCACAGGCTGGAAGGTGAGTCCCTGTGGGTACGGGGCAGCCTCCCACCCAGTCCTCAGCAGGAGAGCCAGGCCTGGGAGCTGAGAGAGCCTGTGGCCAGGGCCCGGGAAGCTTCATTCCCTACCTGTGTCCCCATCCAGGTGGGCTGGGTCCTAGGCCCAGATCATATCATGAGGCACCTGCGGACTGTGCACCAGAACTCCATCTTCCACTGTCCCACGCAAAGCCAGGTGAGGAGGAGCAGGGCACCCTTTGTGGGCAGGGGGTGTTCACAAGGACAAATGAAAATGGGCGGACCGGCTCCAGTGCCCAGGCACAGCTGACCTGCCAGTCCATCTGCCCTGCCCAGGTTGCAGTAGCCAAGAGCTTTGAGCGGGAGCAGCTCCATATGGGCCAACCCAGCAGCTACTTTGTGCAGTTGCCAAAGGCCATGCAGCGAAACCGTGACCACATGACACACAGCCTGCAGTCTGTGGGCCTGAAGCCCGTCTTGTCCCAGGGAAGCTACTTCCTCATCGCAGACATCTCAGACTTTAGTGAGTGGGATTGGCCAGTGTCTGCTGGCAGGGTCTGGGGAATGGTGGCTTCCCTGGGCTCAGCCTGGCCTCTGTCCCCCAGAAAGCAAGATGCCTGACTTGCCTGGTGCCGCAGAGGAGCCATATGACAGACGCTTTGTCAAGTGGATGATCAAAAACAAGGTGGGCTGGGCCTCTGACAAGGTCACTAGGTATGAATCCACATGGGGTGCACTGCTCAAGTATGCCCAGCTAAGGGACACCCGTCTGCCCCTGCCATGGGCCAGGTGCAGGGTTACACCCACTTCAAGAAAGAAGGAATGGCCAGGCATGGTGGCACACACCTGAAATCCCAGGGATTTGGGAGACTAAAGCAGGAGGAGCACTAATTCAAGGCCAACCTCCTCATCTTAACAAAGCCCTAAGTAACTTAGCAAGACCCTGTCTCAAGGTAAAAAATAAAAAGGGCTGGTTCAGTGGTGAAGCACCTCTGGGTTCAGTTCCTAGTAGAAAAAAAAGAAAAAAAAGGGAACATATTTATAATGTGCTCCAAAATGGCATGCTGGCTGGCAGGAATGCCCACCCCTCTCTGGGTCTCAGTGGTCCATCTGTGCAGTAGGGAGGTGGCCCAGGCCTCCGAGTCCCACCCAGCTGGGAATGCGTCCTCAGCCTTCTTTCTTCTCTGGCTCTGCTGGCTGCTGCATGGTCTAGCCTCTTGGTACCGCCTCCCTCACTGCCCAAGCGGGGACCTGGCATGATGCCCGGGGTCCCAGGTCTGAGCTGACTCAGCCTCCAAGGCGATGCGCTGGGCTGACTGTCCTGCGGCCCCTCCTGGAAAACTCCTTGTCTCCTAAGCCGAGGCTGCCAGACCACAGGGCTGAGTGGACACATGGGCTTCCTCCTCCCCAGGGCCTGGTGGCCATCCCGGTCTCCATCTTCTACAGCGTGCCACATCAGAAGGACTTTGACCACTACATCCGCTTCTGTTTTGTGAAGGTAAGGGTGGGCTGGGGTGTGTCTAGTGCCTGCGCTTCTGCAGGCTGCGAGGCGCAGCAGGAGGGAGGACCAGTGTGTGTCAATGCAGGATGAAGCCACACTCCAAGCCATGGACAAGAAGCTGCAGAAATGGAAGGCTGAGCTCGGGCCCTGAGGCTGTCCCTCGCCCTGCACCACACTGTCCCATAGCTCTCTGTCCCTGTTCCAGCTCTCTCCACATCGTGGAGGATGGTACTGCTCTATGATGCAGAGTGTTCCCAAGGAAGAGCCCCTCCTTGGTCTTGGGGCCTCAGCAGTCCCCTCCCACAGCCTGTGTCCTGGCTCAGAGGCCAGAGAGGCCTGACCTGGGACTCTCCTTCTCCCTCCCTAGTTGGTTTTCAGTCTCTTCTGTTCTCCCCAGACTTGGCTGGGGCTGAACAGGGCAGAGTTTGAGGCCTGGAGTCCCAGCAGGGTCCCCAGCCCTGCACTCACCGTGCCTCATCTCAGCCTGTTGCCGGGAAGCCAGCTCCAGGCTTGAGTCCTTTTGCCCATAATAAAGTTTGAAGTTTGCAAACCTCCCTTCTGTCTGCTTCAGACCCTGGTATCAACCCCTGAGCCAGGCTTCGTCAGAACAGGAAGAATCTCAGAGAACTCCAGCTCACCCTTTTCCTTTATACAAACTTTTGTGGAGTAAAACGAAAGCCCAAAGAGTGGGGCATTGGGACTTGTCTGAAGTCACAGGGCTCATCCTGAGGAATCCAGGCCCCTGGGCTGCCCTCCACACCCCTCACCTTCTGATGGTGCTGGCTGGCCGGGCTGGGGGCTGTGCGGGTGCGTAGTGCACAGGGGCTTCTGACAGGAACGACACGGACCTTCTCACGGGTCAGAGAACACGTTGGTGTGGGCAGTGGGGGCCAGCAGGCCATTGTAACTCCTGTGATGAGACAGGAGAAGCAGGGACCCAGGTCTCTGCAACCCCATTTGCCAGCTACCCAGATGAGCACATCTCCCCAAACAGCCCTCAGAAACAGTTGTCTTCACTGCACGTGGAAAGCTCTGTTGGAAGGGTTGGAAAGGGGGTGACATGCCCAAGGCTATCTGACTCCAAAAGGTCATGTTGTGGTGCGTTTGAAATGCACCACAGGTCAGTCTGCAAGCAGGGCATGGAACTTTATTCACCAAGGGGCCAAAAGGACAGCAAGCAAGTTGCCTCTGCACCCTTTCACCCCCACCATGAGTTAGAGCACACTTTTTATAGCCCCAAACCACAAGTGAAGTATGTTAAAACCACAGCACCGTAGGAAGTGGGTCAGAATGACCCAGTTCAGGGTATAGTCAAGGTACATTGCCAATGAAAAATGGGAACTAAAAAAAGAACATCTTATGGGCTAGGGCTGTAGCTCAGTGGCAGAGCACTTGCCTACATGTGTGAGGTTCCATCCTCAGCACCATATAAAAATAAACAAATAAAATAAAGGTATTCTGTCCATCTACAACTACAAAAATTAAAAGAGAGAGAGGGGCTAGAGTTGTAGCTCACTGGTAGAACGATTGCCTAGCATGTGTGAGACCTGGGTTTGATTTTCAGCACCGCATATAAACAAATAAATAAAGGTCCATCAATAACTAATAAAAATATTTTTAAAAAGAACACCTTGCAAAAGCATTTCTTTTTTTTAAACTTTTTTTTTAGTTGAAGATGGGATATGATACATTTATTTGCTTTTATTTTTATATGGTGCCAGGGATTGAACCCAATGCCTCACACATGCTAGGCAAATGCTCTACCACTGAGCCACAACCTCCACCCTTTGTTTTTTTAATATTTATTTTTTAGTTGGAAACAACATCTTTATTTTATTTATTTTTATGTAGTGCTGAGGCTTGAACCCAGGTCCTCGCACATGCTAGGCGAGCACTCTACTACTGCTACAACCCCAGCCCAAAAGCGTGTCTTAATAATACATTGTATAAAAATAAAAGAAACATTTTTCAGCCACTGTGCATTGCCAAAGAGGTTGTGCTTAGCAGGAGTGAGTTACACATGTTTCTCATGTGTGAGAAACATTTCTTATATGAAATGAAATCTCGGTGGGGCTGGGGATTTGGCTTAGTTGGTAGAGTGCATGCCTACCACGCATAAGGCCCCAGTTCCATCCCCAGCACCAAACAGAAAAGAAAACAAGAAATGGAGTCTCAGGGTAAAATGGAGTTTGTCCGCTCAAGACACATATAGTTTGACCCACAAGAGTCAAAAGTGGGATTTGATCCCACATGGGTCCTTCTGGAAAGCAAGGGCAGCTCCTGAGTCTATCCGGACAATGGCCCTGGGGCAGGCTGCGTTGACAGAGGGAGCCCATGAGTTTCAGTCTTTCCTAGATAGACAGATAGATTTTGGGCCACACCTGGCTAAGGCCAGTGGTGTGCTCAGTCACACCCAGGTAATACACCTGTGAAAAGAGAAATTTACAGCAAACTTAGTGTAAAGGTCTTATTAGCTATTATGGTTTAGACATGAAGTGTCCCCCAAAAGCTCATATGAGACAATGCAAGAACAGATAGATTTTGGGGGGGGGGAGACGGTACTGGAGATTAAACCCAGGGATGCTTTACCATTGAGCTACAACTCCTCCAGTCCTTTTAAATTTTTTTTTTTTATTATTTTGAGACAGAGTTTCTAAGTTGATTAGGGTCTCCCTAAATTGCTGAGGCTGGTCTCTGGCCTCAGACTTACAAATTGCTGGGATTACAGGCATGCACCACCACACCAAGCATGTCATTGTTTACTTGGGGGAGGTGATGGGAATATGTGGTATAATAAAAAATACCTTTGGGCTTCCTTGGCATAGACTCCCAAACCCCTGGGATTCCTTAGGTAATGGATGTAGTCCTTGTCATTCATATACAGCCCCTTTAGACCGTAAGATCAGAGGGTCAGAAATTTCAGCCCACCCCCACTCCCCCTAAACTCTCCAGAGGACCTCAACTTTGAGTTCAATCTCAAGGCCTCCTGTTTTCAGCCCTGGGGATAGAACCAGGCCTCTCACATGCTAGGCACACGCTCTATCATTGGGCCACACCTGGCTAAGGCCAGGGATGTGCTCAGTGGCGCCCAGATAATACACCTGTGAAAAGAGAAATTTACAGCAAACTTAGTATAAAGATCTTATTAGCTATTATGGTTTAGACATGAAGTGTCCCCCAAAAGCTCATATGAGACGATGCAGAACATTCAGAGGTAAAATGATTGGGTTGGGACAGCCTTAACCCAATCAGTGAATGAATCCCCTGATAGAATAACTGAGTGGTAATTGAGGATTAGGGGTGTGGCTGGAGGAGGTGGGTGTTGGGGGCCATGGCCTTGGGATATACATGTATATCTGCTGAGTGGAGTTTCTCTCTGCTTCCTGGAGCTACGCTCCCAACTGCTTTCCTCAGCCACTCTTCCACCATGATGTTCTGCCTCACCTTGAGCCCGGAGGAATGGAGCCACCTGTCTATGGACTGAGACCTCTGAAGGCAGGAGCCCCAAATGAACTTTTCCACCCCTAAAGTCGTTCTTGACAGGTCTTTTTGTCACAGCAGCAAAAAAGCTGACTAAAATGTTGGCATTTATTAGTGATTCTGGAATCAGGTAATATCTAGTTTTGTTTTTTTTTTTTCTCAGCCCATATTAGGACTGATTTTTTTTTTAAGAGAAGGAGAAAGATGAGAATTTTTAAAATATTTATTTATTTTTTAGTTTTCGGCAGACACAACATCTTTGTTTGTATGTGGTGCTGAGGATCGAATCTGGGCCGCACGCATGCCAGACGAGCGCGCTACCGCTTGAGCCACATCCCCAGCCCCGATATCTAGTTTTACAAAATAGGATGAGTGCTCAGATCAGCTGAGCAGAAGGGATTTGGCTTAATAGGCAGTAAAGGACTGAAGAAAGCAGAAATAAGAACTGGTCACTTCAATGTTCATTTCCTTAAAGGGCTACAATGGAGGGGACTCATTTACCACACTGGCTCAGGTACACTGAGCTCCTTCTCATTGGTTGCTGTGAACTTCTGAGTTCTGGAAAAGTGGTTCATTTTCAAAGTTTGATTTTATCACATGCCACAAAGCATGAGTGACTCCATTCTGATTTGGTCTGGTCTGTTGGGGCCCCTGCAGGAGCTTAGTCCAAAACAATGCCCTGTAAATTGTTTATCAACCCCACATGGAAACCCTGAAACCATGAGGTTTAGGCAACTTCTGGTTGGGTGAACACCTCCTTGTTCTAGAGAGTGGGAGGGTGGCTAGAGAGGGCACAGGAGCTATCTGTGCCCCCTCCCCTGATACCTTGCCTCATGTACTTCTAACATCTGGCTCTTCCTCAGCTGTGTCCTTTACAGCTGTAATAGCAAACAGAGCTTTCCTGTGTTCCGTGAGTCATTCTAAGAAATTATAGAACCTGAGGGAGGATTGTGCAGAAGTGCAGGCAAACTGCAGACCCCACTGTTGACCAGCATCTGAAGCAGAGCCAGTCCTATGGGCCCGAGCCCGTAACCGGTGGCTTCTACACTAACTTTGATAGTTGTCAGGATTGAATTTGCTGGGCACAGTGGCACATGCCTGTAATTCCAGTGACTCAGGAGGCTGGGGCAGGAGAAACAAAAGTTCAAAGCCAGTCTCAGCAACTTAGTGAGGCCCTAAGCAAATTAGCAAGACTCTGTCCCAAAATAAAAAATAAAAAGTGGACACAGCTCAGTGGTAAATTTCCCTGAGTTCATCCTAGTGCCAAAAAAGAAAAAGAAAAAAAATTTAATCGTAGGATACTAATTTAGTGGCAGAATTGTTATTTATTTAGGGGCTGGGGCTGTGGCTCAGCAGTAGAGCACTCGCCTAGCACGTGCGAGGTGCTGGGTTCGATCCTCAGCACTACATAAGAATAAATAAATAAATAAATAAATAAATAAAAGGTATTGTGTCCAACTATAAATTAAAAAAATTTTAAAAAGTATTGTTACTTATTTATATTTTCTTATGGTATTAGGAATGGAACCCAGGTCTCACACATGCTAGGCATATTGCTACACCACAGAGTCACATCCCCAGCCTAGAACTGTCATTGGGACCTATTTGGTGCCGGAACAACATAAGTCACTGCCCTCCTTTTCCTTCTAAGTCACAGTGTGGTACTATCACTGGCCCAGAGGACTACTATGAAATGAAATGCCAGCGCCAGGGCTCAGCGGTGGAGCCCCTAACCACAGCACACCAAGTAGCCTGAAATTGGCAAAGCCCTTGATGGTGGTAAATGCATGGATTTCTTGATTAGAACCACCCTACCAAAGACCCCATGTCTCATAAATCAACCAAGAATGTGCCCATAACCATTTTAGAGGTTCCAAACTTAGGCTGAGTCACTCAGCTCGAGTATAGATCTCGTCTTAGTTGTGTAAGCGTGACTGTGCACCTTCATTCAGGGGTATGGAGAGAAAAGGTACAATAAACATGTCCCTGTAATGTCAACATGCACTGAGTAAGAAGTAACTTTATAATCATTATGGTCAGTATGCAAGAATGTTTTTTTATGGTGTCCGAAATGT